GAAAACAGGCCAGTTAGCACATCATGATGAATCTATTAGAAATTAACCATGATAGTTTCCAACGGGAACCGCGTGGAGGTCGACCTGGTTGGGTACATTCAATGGGATTCTTATTCTCCATTACTAACAATCCCTTTCCCTATTACTATATAAAAAAATTCCGTGCCCATGTTTTCTTAAAACTATCTTTTTATTTTCAATTAGTAGATTATATGCACCACTTATGGAGAAAGACTCATGTCTATTATTATTATTGCAGCTGTTAATTGCCCACTGCTGTACATAAGTCTTCCCCATAAGGGGAGTTTTGCCAGTAGTTGCCACGCTTGCCAGGCGGATTGGCAATCGCAGTTAGGCCCTTGAGGATATTTTAGAAAAAATGCTGCTGCCCATCCCTCGCCCACCCTTAGTCGCCTCTTACAACCCCATGTCGTTAATAAGTAGTTGAGGAAAGGCAAAAAGTAAAAATAGTTCTACAGCTGTAATAAAATACTTGTTTTAATTATAAAAATACTGACGGTGTAATAACTCGTTTATTAGTTCGCGCTTACTTACTAGCCAAGTTAGCGACTGAAACTAGTTTACGGGCTCCCTTGTCACTTGGCGGCGACTGCGAACGGGGCGAAGCTTACAGAGCAGCCAATTATATAGTTCTCTCGTTATTTCTTTCATATCTCTGTATAATTATATGTTTTCGAGTTGAAACTTCAGATGTTTGTTATTGTTATGACTCGTCATCACTGATTTCTCGTTCCTAATATCTCATCGTCATCATCTTTTAGCTGACCACAGTTGAACATAAACCTCTTTGGATTTTTGCCAGTAGTGGCCACGCTTGGCAATATTGGCATCCGCAGTTAGGCTTTGGAAATATTTTAAGAGAGACGCTGCTGCCCATTCCTTTCCGTTCCTTAGTCCTTAGTCCCGTTAGCGCAGGCGGGGTCACCATGCCATTTTCATATATATATATATATATATATATATATATATATATATATTAGTCCAATTAAGATTTTTAAAGGAAATTACAAGAAATTGTTTGCCGGATTAATTGACATAAAAGATTTACATTTTCCCTATACGTTTATTTTAGTTTACATCATGAATTACATAATAGATTTAGTCACCTAATACGGAGATACCGTAACTTGGTATCAGTTTAATTGACAACCAACACTCTGGTCAAAACAGACACGCTCCTCTCTCAGTCATCACGACGGGTGCCGTAACACCGTTAATAAACCAAATTAATCCGAGACTTGGCAATAGACACGCTCCCCGTCATGTTGGAATACAATAAGCAATCCGTGTGTTATGTACACCACAATGCACAACTTTGATTGACATCATCTGGGCTTACAGTCGTCTGGAACTGAGCACCTATTGAAATCCTATTTAATATTTTATTGAATTAAGCAAAGCGAATGTTACACGCTCATCACAGTGTATACTAGTGATGTGCGAATCCGAATGGTTTTGTTATTCGAATAACTAGTTACTAATTTTATAATTCGATTTATAAATTAGTAATAAATTCCAATTTCAGAATTTGAATGATTTTACTAATTAGTGATGCATTATAACAAAATCCTCCCCTGTGTCTGCTACTACGAAATGCATTCCCTGCATTTTCTGCTACTATATCTCTATGTCGGTTATGTCAGTGAAAACAACCGATAATTTCCAATATATTCCTTTGCATTTTACTTTACATGACAATTTACATGACATGAGTATTTCCTAATAATTTTACCAGAGGGAGACTTTGTACAAAAGTCGATTGCTTGGGTACCTCTGTCCCATTCGTGATTCTACTGTGAAGCAGTTGTGTTTACATGGCTGTGTTTCGGTTTGAAAGGTGGGATATGGCGTGAATTTACAGGGTACAGAGTAACAACGCCGGAGTCCTTAGGAATGGCAACGCATGGGGGGTATCATGGGCGAAATAGTATACTCTGTTATGTCCATGCTGCTGCTCATTGTCTATATGCGACGGTTACCACTTTCCATCAGGTGGGCCGTCAGCCTGTTTGCCATTCTAAGTTGTATAAAAAAAAAATACTTTTCTGTTTAATCATAAGTAACGTAATTTTATATACAGAAAATTTTACTAAAACTTTACTTTCTTATTTACTTTAATTAGTACTATCGAAAATTGTTATTTTTACTACATTTAAATTGTCAACACTCTTGCCCATTACCAAATAAAAATATTTCAACGATCGGGTCGACTCGGTTATGTTCGTGTCGACTCGTACGTCAACGACTACTAATGATTGAAATTGGTAGTCGGCTGACATCAGTAATCGAATGAATAAAATTAGTAGTCGAATGATTTGAAAATCATTCGAATAATCCGAATGATTTGTTCGAATAATTAGTAGTTGCGCATCGCTAGTAAATTGAACAATCCTGATTGACATCATCTGGGATCAAAGTGGTCTGGTAATGAGCATCTATTGGATTTCAACTGAATATTTTATTGAATTAAATGAAATTGTTCGCTTCTTAGATCCGTATGTCGTTATCCTCTTCTGTCAATTGACACCTCATTGTTATGTTGCGTAAAGTCGATCTGTTATAAAATATTTCATTATTATATTTATTATGCTTCATTACAATTTGTGATCAATTATTGTAATTATGTCATAGTGTGCTCTAGTAATTAAAATATTTTAAATTTTTTTTATCAGTTCTCAAAAGAAACCATGTACTTGCCTTTAACTTTTATTCTTATTATATTTATCGTTACCTGTCCAAAAAATATGGTCAGTAAACTTAATAATAGATGGAATTAAGTCACAGTATTTAATGCTAATTAAAATAATAATTAGTTTACCAATGTTACGGTGGTACCTGATTTTATTATTATTTCTGCCGTTAATTGTCCACTGCTGAACATATGCCTTCCCCATAAAAGGAGTTCTACCAGTAGTTACCACGCTTGGCAGGCGGGTTGGTTACCGCAGTTAGGCTTTTACAAATGTTTTAAGAGGGATGCTGCTGCTTATCCCTCGCCCTTCCTAAGGAAGGTATGGCCTATTCTATGCCGGGACCATATAGCGGTACATAAATACAGTGATAGATAAATAAGTAAATTGATATTAAAAAAAAATAAGTCAGTACAGCAAAAAGTACGTAAAAGTAGTATATGATTTTTAAGTATTATTAAATATTTAAAATTACATAAAAAAGCATATTTACCATTAATATACATATATATATATATATATATATATATATATATATATATATATATATATATATATGATGTATATTGAGAATATAAAAGAAATTATAGACACTTTTCCACTCGGTTCCCCAAAATTATAAATATAAATAAATATAAGGGAGAAAGTGTGAAAATAATATTTTTTGAAGATTTTTCTTTTAAGTTCTTAAAGAATTATTCTCGGTATTATAATTGAGTTAGTTCTTCAATTGCCTTCGTTTGGTTTGATGTTAGAATTAGAGATTAAAAAGTTGGTGATTCCGTCATAGAAATATCAATAATAAAATAAATAAACAAGTTTCAGTTTTAGAATAGGACTATATACATTATAGGAATTTCTGATAATAAATATATTAAATAAGTAATTGTTGATAGATTTTAGTAAAGTTTTCTCTGACTTACTTTTCCACTCGGTTCCCCAAAATTATAAATATAAATAAATATAAGGGAGAAAGTGTAAAAATAATATTTTTTGAAGATTTTTTTTTTTTTGAGTTCTTAAAGAGTTATCCTCGGTATTATAATTGAGTTAGTTCTTCAATTGCCTTCGTTTGGTTTGATGTTGGAATTAAAGATTAAAAAGTTGATGATTCCATTATAGAAATATCAATAATAAAATAAATAAACAAGTTTCAGTTTTAGAATAAGACTATATACATTATAGGAATTTCTGGTAATAAATATATTAGATAAGTAATTGTTGATAGATTTTAGTAAAGTTTTCTCTGGCTTAAGATGTTTCTTTCAACTATCATCAACATAGCCGCCTTTAACTCCCTACTGCTGTACGTAAACCTCCTTCTTGGATGGTTTTGCCAGTAGTTGTCACGTTTGGCAAGCGGGTTAGTAGCCGTCGTTAGGCTTTGGAGATGTTTTAAAAGGGACGCTGCTGCCCATCCTTCGCCCTCCTTCAGTCGTCCACCCACAGGAAAGGAAGGGGCATTACAAAATGTTCATGAAACATTTGCTATAGAGGAAAAGATTAAATTAACGGATCTTGTATATTATTTGATATTAATTCTTCATCTTCTAACACTTAACACTACCGCAAACATATATACTTTTCAATTATTTGTTGAGTAACCAAAACCACCTCTCTCAGCGTCTGACCTTCATACGCTTTCTGTTTTATCTAATAGTTAGCGGGTAGAAAATGACATATGGCATTAAGTTCCCCACTTGTACAGTTTTATTGTGCAATAAAGAATTAATAAATAAATAAATAAACTGGATATATTTCATTAGGGGAATTGGTTCGTCTACATTTTATTTATCTACTGGTATATTGGTTCGCTACATATTGGCCTTTTTTTAGATATTTTTACAAATTGTTTCAATGGTCTTGTTTCAGAAGTGGTCCATTCTATGCCGGGACTACAAGGCGCCTTTTTTATTATTATTAGATAGTCTGCTATATTAGACACTAGGCTCTCGAGCAAATATCTGTACTGGATATGTTTCTACTAGTTTATTAATTGTGGTCATATTGTGAGCATAACAATAAGGACAGGTTATTCTTATAGAATAGGTAACTTATAAAACTAAATGTTAAAAAGAAAAAAAAAAGATTAAATTAACGGATATTGTATATTATTAGCTTACTACCGCAAACATATGTACTGGATATATTTCATTAGAAAAATTGGTCCGTCAACAATTAAATTTTAAACATTTTTAAAAATTATTTCAATGATCTCGTTACAGAAGAATCTATGACACCCACAGGAGGACAAGGGATGGCCTATTCTATTCTAGGACCACACGGCGTCTTTTTAATTTGTCTATATTAGATATACTATCTATCTCAGGGCCGTAGCTAGACTCAAGTTTAAGGTAGGGCTAAAGAACTTTTTGGTAGGGCAGAAGCCATAATTAAGTGACTTCAAAAAGGTGTAAAATTTCTGAGGGGTTAATTTTAAGGTAGGTAGGGCATTGCCCCTAAAAGCTCCCACCCCCATCTAGCTACGGCCATGATCTATCTATTTCAACCCGGGTTCGCCCATTGTTTGGTATCATGATCCCGCCGAATGACCCGATACTTCGTCATGCGCGTCCAGGTCTTGCCTACCGTTCTATTTATATCACGTGTCCATCGCATGGGTTGTCTCCCAACGTTCCTCCGGCCAATTCTTGGTCACCACTCTGCGATATTGCGATATAATATTAGATATTAATTCTTCTATTTTAAGCACTACCGCAAATATATATATATATATATATATATATATATATATATATATATACGAGGTCTGTCCGGAAAGTTCGTATAAAAGTGTTCTGGAATGCGAGAAAGAGGAGTGGGGAGGCCAGGTAAGCGCAGGACCCCTTCCTTATGTCCCTAACAATGCTTCAGTTCTGGTCTGACCGCCGTGCGGTGCGAACTGGCTTGTCACGCCATCTGTGAAGTTACCTCTTAACGAAACCCCGTCGGCATGGAGCCCGCTTCCGTTGAAGAGCAGCGCGTCGTAATCAAGTTTCTCTCGAAACTCGGCAAGAATGGCCGTGAAATTTTTGCCGATCTCAGAACAGTTTATGGGGATGATGCTGTGAAGGAACCAACCGTCCACAAGTGGCTAAAAAGATTCAGAGAGGGCCGAGAAAGCGTTCAAGATGACCCACGTTCAGGACGTCCTTCCACTTCACATTCCGACGAAAACGTGGAAAGAATTCGAACTTGTGTTAATGGGGACCGTCGTTTAACGGTCAGACAGTCGTGTGGCACGAGTTCGTCCAGAATTGGCGCGAGAGGGGCGTTGGATTCTTCACCACGACAATGCCCCTGCCCACACCTCTCTTGTTGTCCGTGAGTTTTTGAGTAAAAATTCCATTACGGTGACCGAACACCCCCCTATTCGCCGGATTTGGCCCCGTGTGACTTCTTCTTGTTCCCAAAAACCAAATTGGTACTTCGGGGGCGGCATTTGGGGGACATAAATGAGATAAAAAAAGCTACGACGGGGCAGCTGAGAAACCTACAACCAGAGGACTTTCAAGGAGCCTTCTCACAGTGGAAACGGCGTTGGCACAAGTGCATTATGTCACAGGGGGAGTACTTTGAAGGGGATAAAATTGATTTACCTGAATAATTGTAAAATAAAATTTTTAAAAAACTTTTATACGTACTTTCCGGACAAACCTCGTATATATATATATATATATATATATATATATATATAATATGAAAATGGTTCGTCAAATTCGTTTTTAAAAATTGTTTCAGTGATCTTGTTACAGAAGAATCTCTCATGTGCTCATAGAATACGAAGGATAACTATAGATAATTTCGCCACTGCGTTTATTAAAACAATATTTGTTAAAGACACTTAGAGTTTTTAAAGAATTCTTCTCGGTATTATGATAGTTATTATATTTTGTATGTTTAGTTCTTAGTCGCCTTCGTTTGGTTTAAGTTAAAAATTAAAAATTAGACGCAAAAGTCTTGTTTATGCCATAAAAAGTAATCATAATAAAATAAACAAGTATAAGATTTAATTTTGAAAAAATATATGATTTTTATTTTCTTTATCTATATTAGACACTAAGCACTATTGCAAACATATATACTGGATATATGTCATTAGGGAAATTGGTTCGTCTACATTGTTTTATAAGCTGCATATTGGCCATTTTAAACATTTTTAAAAATTGTTTCAATGATCTTGTTACAGAAGAATCTGTCCCATATATGTTTTCTTAGTTGCCTCTAACGACACCCACGGGAGAGCAAGGGGTGGTCCGTTCTATGCCGGGACCGCAAGGCGATGTTTTTATTAATTTATCCGTATTTGTTTTGAAGCTCGATCGTCATTACGTGATCTGCTTCATTCTTGTATTATTAAAATTTTGAAAAAATAAAAAATTAAATTAAATCTAATAAATCAGTGTAAAATGTGTTAGTGCTTTACAGCACCCAATGAAAATAAATGTTTAAAAAAAAACAAGAAATAAAATTAACGTACCTTGTATAATATTGGATGTTAATTCTTCTGTATTAGATACTAGGCATTACAGCAAACAAATATACTGGATATGTATCTACTGGTTTCCTTGTTTATTTCAATTAGTACATTTACTATAAATAAATGTATTGTGCTCGTTAATCGTGAATACGAAGGAAACTATAGACAATTCCGCCATTGGATTCCTAAAAATTATTAATATAAATAAATACAAGTGAAAAGTTATTGAAACAATATTTGTTGAACCTATTTTGTGATTTTAAAGAGTTCTTCTTGCTATTATAGTATAGTATGTTTAGTTTTTTAGTCGCCTTCGTTTGGTTTAAGTTAAAAATTAGACGAAAAAGTCATGTATCCGCCTTAAAAAGTATCTATAACAAAATAAATATATGAATTCTAGTTGTGAAAAAAAAAGTTTTTTTTTGTTGTATCTATATTAGACACTAAGCACTATTGCAAACATATATACTGGATATATGTAATTAGGGAAATTGGTTTGTCTACGTTGTTTTATACACTGTATATTGACCATTTGATTTATTTTTAAAAATTGTTACAACGATCTTGTTACAGAAGAATCTGTCCCATATATGTTTTCTTAGTTGCTTCTAACGACACCCACCAGGAAGCAAGGGATGGCCCATTCTATGCCGGGACCACAAGGCGATTTTTATATTATTATAAGATAATCTGCTATATAAGATAGTTCCGATTTGCATGTTTGTTGATTTTGGCACATTTAGTATTTATTAAAAAATATTGTGTCCGTAAGTTGAGAATACGAAAGAAATTATAGACAATTTTGCAATTTGGTTTTTGAAAATTATGGATAAAAATAAATGCAGGGTAATGTTGCATTTTTAAATAAAAAATATAGGAGGAGTTAAAAAATATTGATAACTTGATGGATATATTTCAAAGACAGCGAAGATTACTTTGTAATAAGTAATACAAAATAAAAAAATATTAATAAAAAAATATATATATTTTACAATGAAATTTAAATAATTCGACCTCATTTATTTAGTTGATTGTATTGTCAACAGATTAGTAGTGGCATGTAAACCACATTTACTCTATATATATATATATATATATATATAACATTTATTTGTTGTTTTAGGTTACAGAATTATGTTAAAGCAAAAATAAGTATGGCATATTTCAACAGAATTGGCACGTAAGGATCTACCGTCACTTGTATTGTATTCCATTTTTGTATACTACTTAGGATGGCAAACAAGCTGACGGCCCACCTGATGTAAAGTAGGAACCGTATAGACATAAGCAGTATCATGGACATAACAGTGTATACTGTTTCGCCCATGATACTCCCCATGCGTTACAATTCCTGAGGACTCAGGTGCTATTCCTCTGTACCCTGTAAATTCACGCCATATCCCACCCTTCAAACCGAAACACAGCCATGCAAACACAACTGCTTCACAGTAGAAACACGAATGGGACAGAAGTACCCAAGCAATCGACTTTTGTACAAAGTCTCCCTCTGGTAAATTTATTCATTTATTACATAACTATTATTTAAAGTCAATATTTCAATTAAGATTTGATTTAAATCGTAAAATTGTGATGCTACAAACTATCAAGGTATATATAACTGCGTGTACAGTAGGTAGCTATTGTTCGCTAATGTTCATTGTCTCGGAATACCCTATAAGCCCACAATATATGAATAGAATAAAGAAATCTCTTTATCCCATTCACGTTATGAATATATATTTAATTATATTACTTTCTGATCGTATTACTTCGCATCTAAGATTAGCTTCATTTTATTTGTTATTAAGGACATAGGATACGAGTAGATATATGTACATTAAAGTCTAATCATATATATATATATATATATATATATATATATATATATATATATATATATATATATCATAATACTCTTCTATTCCAACATTATGTAGCCTAAAACAATATTCTTACTTACATATTGTTCATAGTGCTCCTTTTATTCACTAGATGGCTCTAATTTAGAATTATTATCCAGAGTTTTAATATCTGTTACTAGCCTCGCCCCAGTTTAGAGCTGGTAAAGAGATAAATTGGTATTTTATATTAGTACTTTACATAGACTCATAACAGATAAAACTATACATTAAAACGTGAAGCAAAAACTTTGGAGTACAAAGATTTTTGTTACAAAAATTGCGCGGTCGGAGGGGTATGATATTTCGCACACTCATAGTTTTTTATAGAGAAGTGCAGGATGCTAATATTTTTTTTTAAATTATGCATAAAAAATACATTAAATCAATAAAAAAAAATTACACACACCACCATGTATTTGACACACACACACGCATATATCTATTCTTTTGTTTATTGTTAAAGTCTGTGGTCAAATTGAGAATAGATTAATATTGTTTGTCTCTAATATTATTTACTGTAGTTTTACTAAATGTCAGACATAACCATAATAAATTCATTTACTACAATATATGTTATAGTTGAATTTCGACCACTAGTATTATATTAATTGTATAACATACTGAAAGTCGTACACATAAGTGCGGTTTAAAGCGTCGAGCTGATGAGCTCTTTTTCAATTTTATTTCCTTGCTAGAAACCTCCGATAAACAGGAGCAATCACAGCAAATTTTATAACACTGTAGGGCGAGCCGCGACCTTCGACGCGCTATTTATACGTACGTCGTAAGCCGCTGTCACCCAAGTAGGGTGAAAGCCCCTAAGTTGGGGGGGAGGGAAGCGTTTGTTAGTAAAGCGGACTACCAGATCCACTGCTAGCAAAATCCCCTGCCAGGTCGACCTTCACGCGATTCCCCCTCGAAACCATCGTGCTAAATTCTCACCTCCCTCCCTCCCTCACTGGTACCCCAGGGTATACCGTTAGTGCAGACTGGGTATCCTTTTCATTACCATCCTTTAAAAAACTAACAAACGTTCAAGCCCTTTAAAGCGTTTTCAATTTTGAAGTCCATTAAAAATATGTTAAGTGATAGTTTAACAAAAGTAGTTTATGTCAATTGTAAACCTCTTGTTTTCAGAGTGATTTAAACCTAAACGTAACCGTACAATCACAGATGTTTCGCGGAAGAAACACGAGTGGGACAGATGCACTCGTCCAGATAGCTTTTGTACGAAGAAAAAAGCCTTCTTCAGGACCTGTACTTTCACAAATGACCAAAAAAAGTTACCTACTTCCCTTTCTCGAGCAGTTGGGTAAAAATATAAATAAGTAATAAAGATACCTACGTAAAGTATTCCAGCTAATTCTATACATGTTGACAGCGATTTAAAAGAGTAACTTGAGTTTCTTGCGTACTCTTCTCAACAGATAACAACCTTCCGAATCCTGCATTAGATTAAAAAGCGATTTAAAAGTGCTTGTAAACAAGTGAAACAAAAAATTTTAATTTGTTATAATTTAAAACTCAACGTAACTTTTGTGTTAATATAACTCATAATTCATATTTGGCAATATTAATACATGTAAAAATGTTGCATACCAAGCTGACTGAATGTTAAGGCTATACAAACACTTATAATATGGGGGGGGGGGGGGAAAGGGATTGTTAGTAATGGAGACAAAAATCCCATTGCTAGCAATATACCCAACCAGGTCGACCTCCTCGCGGTTCCCCCTGGAAACCATCATGGTTAATTCCTGATGAATTCATCATGATGGGCTAACTGGCCTGTTTTCATTCTCATCTATCACCCTTCACTGGTGCTCCGCCAGCGTATCCCGTTAGCGCAGGTGGGGTTACCATACCATTTTCATCCACCAAAAAAAAAAAAAACACTTATAATATTATCTAAACTTACGACATTCATCGCAATAAATTTCATTTCATTTCAAGTATTATGCATATGAAATTATTAAGTTTTTTAAAGTATTTAATTTGATAAGGACATCACAAAATTTGTTTAAATTACATATGCTATCGCTCTTTTGTAGTTATAATAAAGAGGTACAATTCCACTATACATTGTTCAAACTCAAACGGATTACGCAGTATTTTTGATGATACCTCCCAAACGGTTTTATTTCCTTCGACATTTACGAACTATAACGAATTATACTTTTAAACGAATGTAAATTCGTTTAGTAGTTTGTAATAAGCTCATCGCGAACGTACAAACAAACAGACCGGCGGGAAACTTTGCTAAAATAATGTGGTTTTCTTTAGTGAAGAAATGTATGGGTACCTGCAAGTTTTTGTTTTTTGCCAAATGTGGTTTATGGAGACATTTTACCGATACCTTTAGTGTTTCTGTAATCCTTTGGTAGTTCTGCATTTCTTTTTTTAACGATATATTTTCTCTATTTGAATTTTAAATGTCCTGTTGAGATAATAGCAACTCTTCAATTTGCCTCTTTAAATCAGTTGTATGAGTGGCATCTAGTGATACATCGCGTAAACTTTTCATATTTGTATTTTGATACCGACTATTTTTTTTATGTGTGAAAATGGGTATGGTAACCCCGCCTGCGCTAACGGTATTCGCTTGCGGAGCACCAGTGAAGGGTGATAGATGAGAATGAAAACAGCCTATCATGATGAATTTAACAGGAATTAACCATGATACCAGGAAAAACCGCGAGGAGGTCGACCTGGTTGGGTATATTGCTAGCAATGGGATTCTCAGTCTCCATTACTAACAATCCCTTTCCCCGAAACTGTGACTATTAACCCCGTAATCTATCTATATCATTATTAGACAAAAGTACACAAAATCTTGTCTTTCCCGAATCAGTATACTTTCAGAAAGAATTCAAATATTTCGACAATAAGTTTAAAAGCAAAAAAAAAATTCAAGTGCAGTTAACAATTTGTAAAACTTCACATAATTTTGACGATATGGATGAGAAATTTAATATTTTACTATTAGCTAATGTAATTACTAATCATATGATGTATATTGTTTATTTTTTTTACTCTAAATAGCATCCCTTATTTAGTCCTTATTCATACCCAGATTTCTATTGACCCCATTCTACGATAGGTAACAACTTGGTATGAAGGGCTGGAGGAATCGATAATTATTCGACAAACTATCGATAACAGTGTTGTGCTAATAGCATATATCAATATTTCTATTCTAGATTAACTCAATTATTCATAAAAACTAAAACGTCCCACAAACCTGTTTTAACTATTAGTGTTTTCTCACGGTTCTTTAAATTGAGAATTTGGTGCAAAAGGACGAAACACTTCAACAGATAAAACAGGTTTATGACAGGTCTTTATGAACAATGGTGCGGGGAGGGAGTTAGGATCTAGTGTAATAAAATAATTTTTAGACATTCCTAATGATAAAAACAACAGAAAATATAAATAAATCTTCCTTTAATGATATTTACACACATACAGATGTATGATGAGCACCATTTCAATAATAATGGGACTAGTTGACTGTAAATTAATTAAATAATATTAATTAAATAATAATAATATTAGAAGTTGAAGTCCCCAGCACATTGCACCACTTGTTATTGTAGTTCCACCGGCCAGACCTAAAATATTCCAAGATTAAAATTTCCTATTTTAAAAATTAATTCTCCCTTTTCGTTTTCACAGTTTGTACTAGTTGTATGAGGGCCCATACAATTATCAATTGAGCATTTGGTCTATAAGGATGAAACACTTCAACAGTTAAAACAGATGTATGCTGGAATAACATACCCCCTCCAATGAGACTAGCTGCATCCAAATCAATTTTTAAAAAGTTGATAAAGCAACATTTATTAAATAAGCAAAAATTTGGATTAGTCGCCTGGTAGCGACTGCTTTTAACATAATTACTGTGGTGAATTATTATTTATATATGTTAAATATTATGTTTAATTAATTAATGAAATATATTATATTATTTATGCATCATCTATATAAGTATGTATCTATATAATATAATTTTACCTTTTGCTATTAAATTGGTTACACAGGTTACACTCTGGGTTTGATGCACGCGTCCGTGTAGCCTTGCTTCAGGTTGCAGCTGAAAATCAGTGCTTTGCTTTTAAGCAAAAGTATCACTGAGCTGTAGCCTTTTTGGGTCACTGCGACACACTTGGTGAAAACATATCTCCAATATTCATTTTATGTTTTATATGTTGTTTTATATTTGAAAAAATGTAAATAATCAAATTGTATCATTTTATTCATTAATTTACGTGTGTTAAATGGCTCAAATAAAGTGTTTATCTATCTATCTATCTATGTATGATGAACACCATTTCAATAATAATTGGGACTAGTGTCTTTAACTCTTCTTTGCATGATTTTTTTTTTATTGGTGAAATTAATCAAGGTGATATAATTCATGTGCAAAATTTAAGATGTGGTTAAAAAAATAAATTTGATACCTACATTTTTTTCTGCAGTGGACATTAAAAAGGTATTCAGACACTGTCAGCTTAAAGTGAAATCATTCTTTTATGATTTTTGGCCCTTCAGTGTTATGATGGAAATTTCCACCATTATGCAAAGAAGGGTTAATGAGCATTTATAAATATTAGGGAATTAATATTATTAGGCCTTGAAGCCCAGCACATTGCACCACTTGTGGATTATTAATTACAAATAAGTTAGTAAAACTTTCCTGTTTTAAAAATTCTCTATTTTCATTTTCACAATTTGTACTAGTTGTATGAGAGCCCATAAATTAATCAATACTACTTTTAAGTTTTAACCACATCTTGTCTCAATTTTAAATTTGAATTAAATTAAAAATGGAATATTTGGCATTCTGTAGCTGAACAAATGCATAAAAATAAAATTTAGTAGATAAATAGACAGTTTACTAAATTATTAAATTAGGATTTTATTTACAAACAAATTAGGTATTTTCAAAGTAACAGCAGGCATTGTCTTTGCGTTCATACATCTAAGTGAAAGATGTGATAATAAAGAAATTTCATCAAATATTTCATTTTGTACCATAGTTATTAGTCTTTCAAAATGTCATTGACATGTAATATACATACCACAAATTGTAATCAGTGCTTGCAACACATGGACCGATAGTCAATCAACAGTTATGGTTGGCGTTAAGAATCATGCAGTGCATGTAGCATTTCACTGCATACACTATGGTTCGTCCAGATCAAATTGGGGGCCGCTGAAACATGTTGCCACATTCTTTTCCTTTTTTTTTTATTTTTCCATATGTATATCCTGTAAAATAAATAATAAATCATATTGATGTTATTGAAAATTTTTATTATCATACAATTTGCAAGATTTAAGGTGATAATGTTAAAATAGTTAAATTGTATTCCAATAAAAAATTTACTTGAAAAACTAGTAGTTGGATTTAAGAACTACTAAACTGATTTTGATAAAATTTCTTGTAGTTCAATCTGTAAGTATTTCCTTTCAAATAGTAAAATCATTTTTCAAATAGGTTTACAACTAACAGTGTTATGATATAACAAACTTTAAAAACTATACAAGCAAGTTTTTGTTTAATGGATGGAATGGAATCCTTACCCTGCTTGCACTATTGGTATGTCTAGCAGGATACCAGTGCGGGATGATAGATAATGATGAAGAAGTTCAGTTGGCCCATCATAACTAATTCAGTAATAAATCAATTACAATAGTTTCTAGATCACATAGAGAACAATCTAATAGGGTATATTGCTAGCAATGGGATTGCAAATCTTCAATCTCTTTTCTTTTTGATGTAGATTGAAAATAGGCTAGTTTCTAGTAAAAATACTAATAGTAATTGAGGTGAAATTTTATATCTTTTTATTGATAATTAAAAATAAATAGACTAATTAGTCCAATTGGGAATTATTAATACTGATGTTAATATAATAGATAGTTACTGTACTTGGAAATATCTTTCGTTTGTAACAATTAACCTTTGTATATAGAATCAGTAGGGATAATGTAACTAATTACTATTTAACAATTAAATCTAATCATCACATTAACCTTCAATTGTGCACTGCTAAACATAAGTCTCCCCCCTGGGGGGGTTTTGCCAGAATTAAATATACTTACTGTTATTGTAGTCTTTTTGGAAGACACTTGCCCACCAATTGCGAGGTAGATTAATTATGTTAAAAACAAATATGTATTTAAAAATAACAAGGATAGTAATCATAATATATATAAAGACTCATTGTTCTAATTTTTGGTATAAAAAAAATGAATAAATTTATTTATATTTTAATTTCATACTCAACGTTAGAATTTTAAATTACGAGTACCTACAGATTAAAAAAGACAGATCGATTCTGAAGCGCCATTTCTCTAATTGATTTCCTATTCTAACATTTTAATTTGATAAATTCGCGGTATTATTGTTTTATGGAACACCACAAACTAAATTTATTATAATTTTTGCTGTAATAATAATATTAAATATAAATGAATAATAATAATAATATTAGAAAATTTGCTGTGTAACCAAATTGAATATTTAATTTTAGAGATAGGTTTAAAAAATGGCACCTCAGAATTAATCCTATTATCTATGTCATTTTGTGTAACGAATATTTTTAATACAAATCACAGACGTGATTTGGTCAGGAAATATCATGCCAACGTTTAGTCAAATAATTTAGTGAAATCACACTGGTGCCAATTTAACAAGAATATTATCAGTTATGATGCAGTTTTAGCTTTGTATTTTATATTCCTTTTTATTTTAACGTGGGAATAATGACTATATATAATTAATGTTGATTCTATTACGAGGTTTACTCTAGAAATTTACAAGATATTACGGGAAGTGTTGAAAACTTATATTTACCATCAATACTATTACGAAATTGAGATCTCGATGTAATATTGTATAAAACAATAAATATATTTAACAATTTTGTCTTTTATTTTTGTTAGAAAAATATTTATCGGAACATGCAATTTTATATAAAATTTATATATTTCTTGTATTACATGATTCATATTTCTACTATTATAGTATAATTATAACCTTATTAGTTTTCATTTTGAACATCAGACTGGGCAACATAACGAGAAAAGTAGGTTTTTTTTTGGTGGATAAAAATGGAATGGTAACCCCGCCTGCGCTAACGAGATACGCTGGCGGGGTACCAGTGAAGGGTGATCGATGAGAATGAACACAGGCCAGTTAGCCCATCATGATGAATTCAATAGGAATTAACGATGATAGTTTCCAGGAGGAACCACGAGGAGGTCGACCTGGTTGGGTATATTGCTAGCAATGGAATTTTTAGTCTCCATTACTAACAATCCCTTTCCCCACTGTGTAGATTGTTAGATATTCCTGACCAAGTCGGTTTAGATGGCTTGTATGAAGTGTGCTCTTTTATCACTTGATTATATATTTTTCGCTTCGTGTCATATTTGTTTTTTTCACAAGGTTGATACCGTCTAATTGCAACTCGATCAGCCCTCCTTTTTTGTTATTTAATTACTAATTACTAATTCTATTATTGTAATATTAGGGGTTTGTTTGTTCTTCTATGTTCAATTTATGTTTTGGAACGGAGAAGGTTTGTCTTACGAGTATAATCTCCACAAATCTCCAAGATTTTTCAGGTGACTTTTTCGTGGTTATAACAGGTACAGGTAAAGTTTTCTTGAAATTGATTTTAATTAATTTCACTGAGCGGTAAAAATACGTGTTTCCAAAAAGCGGAAATGAAAGTTTTGCCAGTGGATATTCTTAGGCTGGTTTTTGGGTCAGTGGATACCCTTTTTATAACAAATGTATTGCATATGTGTTCGAATTGAATATGTTGGTGCAGATTTATACCAACATTGCTTTATGTCGAAAACTTGTTTTCTTAATTACTGTGGCATTGCAAGTTTAATGTGATGTACAAAATCTCTTCTATGACATATGTTGTCGTTTTTCTTTTCAAATCCAATGTCCATATCATGAAAGTTACCAGAAAAATGAATAGCTAATAAAAAAAAAAAAAGAAAATAATAGGTAATAAAGGTAAATTTGTACTTAGTTCTTTGTTAATCTCATTAAATGCCTTCAACACTGTATATTGCATGTACTAATGCTAAAAGAGTGGTGCCCTCTGATGTTTCTAGACAGCTTACATCATTGTTTGCTTGGCTAATGGTGCATTATTTCCTTTATTATTGTCATCATTGCACTACAGATTATTTATTTGCTCCTATATTTTTTTTTTATACAACTATATTGATTAATATCAAGAAACTGGTTGCTGAATTTAGTTACTGCAGTCTTTGTATTTTCATTTCTTTAACAAAATATTTCCAAAGTGTGTTAGATAGTTCTAGTGTGATGAATCTACTAATATTGTTTTATTTCACTAGCACCGATTAGGACACTGGATGTATGTTCCAGTGTGGTTTTGATTTATATTTATTGTATCATTGGGATGAAATAGAACTGCAGATGTTAAGGAATTGTGTTATTATATTCTAAACAAATAATACAATCTAAATAAAACAATTTTTAATTTTAAATAAAACAACAATGACAAGTAAATAAATCAAAAGTAATTAACAAAATATATACATAGCACAAAACAATTGAAGAGTTTGTCAACATTCTGGGCCTCCTTTGAATAACCAGTTTCAACATTATCGAAGTGGGCAAAAGTGAGATTTTTAAATTTAGAAAAAAAAAAATGACAAGAAAATAAATTAAAGATAATTGACAATATATATACATAGCACAAAACAATAGAAGAGTTTCAACATTCCGGGCCTTTGAATAACCAAATTCAACATTATTGAAGTGGACAAGAGTGAGCATGTTAACAACTTTACGAACACCACTAGGACCAGGGTATTTTCTGATGATTCTTCCCATCATCTACTCTAAAACAGACAGTTGTTGCTGTTGATATTGCTGATGTTTCTAATGCTATTGCTGATGTTATATTGCCGAGTTGCTATTAGTGTTACTGAAGTTGAAGTTGCTATTGCTGGTAATGAAGTTGTTGCTGTTGCTATTACCGAAATTGTTGTTGCAATGATGGTGATGGTGATGATGACAAGATCTTTAACTTTGTTTTCCATTCAAAAATAGAACTTTTTTTTAATTTGGATAGGTACTCCTTGGTTCATGAAGGAACCAATAGAGGTGCTACTTTGAATATAAAATAAGTTTATTCCACACTTTTATAGTAAGGCGTATAATAATAATACAAAAAGGAGATAGTAATGTTAGCTCTTGAAAAACTAAACCATTTTAACTATTTCATAATTTTGCTATTTCAATTTGTGCAATCTCGTGTTTTGGAAATTGTGTCAATATAGGTTTCTTTGCCCTTCTATATTTTCTGCAGTGATTTGAGTAACTTTCTGTCAGCAGAATGGATTTATGCCATGATGTGCTGTGATCGATCATTAATAATTAAATATCGTTTATGCTGCAATATTGATAATGACCAATAATATATACATTGACTAAAAACTAGCTGAAATGTGTGTTTATGCATTTTCGAGTACTATGTTGAAAACTATACCATGATACTTGTGGAGTATGGGTCACATTTTTTTTATATTGTTATTTACCAAATTCGAATAGCTTCCCTTAGGCCGTGGTCTTCTAAGTTCATTCTGCTAATATACACATATTTCCAATTTCCATTCTCGATTTCACTTCTGTCCTCGGCAGCTGGTGATGCCTTCGGCGGTGTTTATCCTATACCCACAATTTTATTAAAAATCTTAAAAATAAACAAATGGCACTTGAGTTATTTAATTTTTCAATGTTTTTGTCTTCAATCAAGTAATATTTTGAAGTACTGGTTTGAAGATAAGAAATTATTGAAATGTTTGTTAAAAAAAATGAAAGTAGAACAATTACGTGCGTAGACGTCTCACCTAAGTTTTGAAAACAGATCCGATACTGCGCGTGATCATTAGAATATTAATATAAAACTAAATAAATCTAAGATGGTCACCGTGAGTTGTTTATTGCGTGCTTCAACAATATTCGGTAGGCGACGATTGAAGTAAAATCAGTATTTATGAGCTGGTAGCTTACTGTAGACACAACACAAAGCTACCCCTATTCCGTAAGAGTCGGCGCAGTTCTGAACTCGTCTATTAAATGATTGATATAGCATTATGTATGTCACATTATAATAAAAATATTGTTAAAAATATTGATTATTTAATTAAATAATGTAGAATACAAAATATGAAAAAAAAAATCTTAGTTTCTCTTGTTATAGTGGTCACAGTTTTGTAGATGGTGTACACAGTGGGTTCTCATTATTTATCTCCTTATTCTGGATTGCTGTCTCCACATTATACCTATATCAGTGGCCTCACGGAAAAATCGAGTGACATTCAAATAGGTGATCGTCGTAATCGATACACTCCAGCGTGTGGGACAATGCCCCCGAGTCTGTTTGCCTTCAACTCGTCTTTGCACTACCAGTCTTTTGTCCTCGGAGCTTAATTTTCTTTTTCGTATAATAATATTGGAAAGACAAGCCATTTCGTGAGATGAACCTTTGTGTTTTTAGTTATTCTGCTGTCCTTCCTAAGTTTACCAAGTTTAAAAAAAAAGTTCTGTTCTATACGAAGGGCCCTATTGAACTATTTCAAAAACCAGTTTACTTTTGTAAACCTTTCGTTGACGTTGGCTTTGTGGAGCTGCTTTCGTTAAGTCTGTTATACCACCACATATTGAGCCCGATCTTTTTTTTTTTTATTATGCATCTCCTACGACCCACCACTTTACGAGCCGATGATGACCAATTAAGTTGTTTTACATATTTTATTGAAGTGTATTTATTTATTGTGAGCTAGTAAATTTTTTATTTTATTTATTTTTAATATAAAAACCAAATTAACAATGCTGCTTATTACAAAATATAAAATATTAGTAGGGCAATGGCTAACTAAATTATTAATGCAAGACAAGTAGTCTGTAATAATAATTTATTAAAAGTCCAAACAGAAGAAAGTGTTGTACAATAAATTTCGAAAAAAGAATAAAGATTCACAAGCTATAGTGATTTTTTTTTCAGCAATTTGTTTCAAGCAGTGAGCTAGCTCTTTTTGAGTATTGCGGGTAGACCTTATCTTATTTTTGTCATAAGTTCACAATGATTGTAGGGTAAGGTTGCTCGAGTCGTAATCTGAGGGAATAATATTGTTATATTTAGTGTAATTGAAATAAAACATTTTGCACCTATTGAAATGTTTTGTTTCCTTCGAAAAATTATAGAAACTTAAAAATCTTTCATCAAAATATTCATTTCAACGTTTTACAAAAATATGCATTCGGTACGTTTAAAGTGTTTGGTGGCCTAATTTGTGCCACCTTAGCATTAGTCCTAGTCGTACATAGAAACAAACTAATGAATAGGCACATAATAAACTTTTTCTTTTCATGTGTACTCTTTTGGGTTACATTTTTTTTTTTTGTGAGGACTTGAAGCTTATTAGCTTGTGAATTTCTTCATTTTTTAAATTGCTGCTTTTGTCCAAGATTCAGGAGACAAAATATTGTTAATATATTATAATCGTGTGAAGTATTCTGTGATGTTGTGGAAGTTCCAAGTTGAATCATGAGCGGAAATGGTGGTAGGTGTAATACCTAGGTACTGAGGGTGGTTTTGTATTTTTTGGTAGTAAGGGTGATGATGATGACACTATCAGTGGAGATTCAACCATTATTGGCTTTTTGCCAACTAACTTTCGTATGATATAAATATTGTACTTTTCCTTCGTGACATTTATTCAATGATAATAAGATAAGTAAATTATTAAATTTAAAGAATACCGGTGCGAGTAAGAAATTTTGCAAACTTAAACAGCAAGAATTAATAAAGTTTTTAAAATAAAATCATTGACACACCCTAAAAAAGTTCCTACGAGTTTGAGTATGTTTAGACGATTGACAAGTAAACATTAAGGAAAAAATTAGGAGTCACATTCCTGCCATAAAAAGCACATAAGTAAAAAATTTCATTGAAAACTGTATAAAACATTTGTTATTTATATTTGGTTTATGAAGTTGTCTGGCCATCCACTTGTATACATTTCTAGGCTGATTAAACAATTCAGGTTGACGATACTGAATGGTGCAATTTATAAGTATCAGCCAAGCCGACAAATAATATTGATCTGCTTATTACCGTCTATTATTATATTAGTAATTTCTTCAGACTATTGAAAGCATGATATGGATTCAATGTTATCATAATTTCAATATTTACAGTAAATGTGAACATAGACTGCTAATACTGAGGACACCAGGCTTCGTTCCTCTTAATAAGGTCTTCTGTTTTCTTAAGTACATGCGCCCTCTTGAATTTCTTAGCACAGTCTGTATGTCCAAATAAGAATGTCAGTTTTTGCATTTCTTACTACCTCTTTTAGATTCTTGTCTGCTGTTCGGCTATTATAAATGATTTTCTAGATAGTCTTGATAGATAACTTATGTTTTGCCCCATCATTAATTTCCTCCACAACTATTTGGTATTTATATTGGCTTTTATTATTCTACTTAAGGATTTTCCTAGACATGTAATGTCTATGCAATTTGAACTACTCAACCATCGAAACATTGGACGATTTAAAAGCGCTTGTAAACAAGTCTATTTGAATAAATG